GTGATTACACGTGGGCGTACCTGATAGATGGATGGATAACAGAATTATTAAATGTCAATAACATATTTTTTTATGTAAAATTATGAAGTTTAGGTGGAACATTGGGAATAAATGCAAGCGGTCAAACAGGTGGAAAACCCAACATCCAATGAAAACAAGACTAGATCTACACAGGATGTGATTGGGTGGGAACAACTGAGCTGAGACAGAAAATAAGGAGAGGAGGGAAAGGAAATTAAAAAAAAACAAGCATGTTAGAAAACAACTAGTAAAGGAAGTCACCAAGATACAGACCATCGATAGCAACAAGAAGACTGCAGAAAAGTACAAACACAACAGAATACAACAAATATATGGAAAGCTTCAACATAAAGACACAGAATGAGTCTTCTGGACACTCCAGCTTTTCTCCTGCTGCCTTTTGTTTGCATATATACCAACAACTATTGACACATGAATGGATGTGAAAATGATGTGAACCTGTTTCAGATAACGCCTAAAGGGAAGGCTGCAGGATGAATGTGTGCCCTTCACTGCAGATATGAGTACACGCTGGGCAGACATGCAGGTTTTATGTCTTAACACCTGCGAGTGTACAAGAGCCTGTATTTGTTTTGTCATTTCTGTTAGACAATGTGATTGAAGAACTCTTTGCTTCACAAACAAGTTTTAATGAAAGGTAACGTTGGCATACACACAGGGGATGAATGCACACAGCTCACATTAAAACAAAGTCATCTAATGTCTAACAAATCACAGCCAGGCTGCCCAAGAATGCACAGATCCTTCAGTCCACTGTCTGCTATTTTCCCTTCCTTCTGATTCTTGTTGCTGATGTTTTTGGTATTTGAAGGTGTTTTCTGACATCATTTCTATAGTTTGAAAAAATCAGTCTTTCTTATATTGCAGAGGATGCATGGATTTGCAACTTGACACCCCCACCCCACCCCACCACCTCCTCCATAAAACCAAAACTGAATCAATGCAAACAGTCAGTACCAGCCAGATTTCTCTTGTGACTTTTATTCCTACACATACACATCTTTGTAAGTTTTGCATTCCTGACAGAAGATCCAGAGTAACAGATGTTCTCATCTGTTTGTCTCTTAAAAGCTTTTATAATTGTGGTTTTTATTGGACCCTTAATCCTTTATAAAGCTTTTTATTTTTAAATTGAAGCACATGACTGTGACTGGAGGCTCTTACTTCTCCTGCTCCAGTGATTGCTCATTGTTGGCTTTAATTTGTCTCCTCACAGAGTAATTTACTCTTAGGGAAGATGTGTGTTACCAGGAGTGAGTCAGCAGTCCAGGTCAAACACTCCAGCGTATCTGCTGGCCTCTGCTGGGAGAAAAAAGAGCTACAAGAGCAGTGTTTTGCCCCCCAGTACACTTCCTGTTTGCGGACCAATAACAAAAATAATTTCACTGAAAAAACAAAATACTAATGAATGGAGCACTGTTAAGTAGAAGGGGATGCAGAGCCTTAAGCTTCCAGTCTGGATTCAGGAGACAGAAACATCTCTACTTTCAAGGTTAGGGCTGGATCAGGTATTAGTTATGCTGAAATAGGCCCAGGCTGCTGGGGCTTCCCATGATGATGACGCTATGTGTTTTTACACCACTCTGCATTTAATCATTAGTTCTCATTAATCTCTGAGTCTCTCTCCCCTGAACACCAACAGCAGGGGGCTTTACCTTACAATACAAGAAATGCCTTGAGGTGACTGTTGTGGTGATTCGGAGCTGTATAAATAACATGGAACACAATTTAACTGATTTTAATTGAATTATGTGTTTGTTTATTTTCTGTAATACATTTATTGTTTGAATGAGGTTAGTGTTTGTAAAAGTTAATCTCTGAGTTTCATTAGTTAGTCCTCTGATTCAGAGTGCTTTTCTACTCTGTGAAGGGGAAATGAATGGCTCAGTGATGTTAGTGTGTGGGAAGCTGCAGGCTGCCTGTCTACCTGCAGAGAGCATCTGTTAACAGATGGTGGCAGTGTCAAAAATATGTGATACAACCGCTCTGTGGTCTGCTCTTGCTTGTGCTTTTGTTGGTCATCAGCCAGCCACCGAGAAGAGCGAAGTCAGGAGCTGAAGAGAATGAAGAGAAACCGAGAGCTTTTCATAGAGAGCATCCCTTCTCTTATTTCCAGTGAACACTGTCCAGTCTGCTCCAACCACTCAGCATTCGACTACAGCTTCATCCACATCATTGTGTTTGACTGAGAACCAGTCAGCGTGGGCAAACACAGGAGCACGCAACATGACAGCCACACCCACCTCATGCTCAAATCTGGACCACAGTTGTTTAACATAACGAAACCATTTACGGTAAGCTGCAAAAGTAAGTGAAGGAAGACAATGATAAATACAAAAGAAAATAAAAATAGTAGTGAACATGTGAAAATCGGATTATTATATACAGTATAACGCATTTTTGTCCAAAGTATAATGAAGAGATGAAGAGCACTAAATGTCCGACACATGCACAGAGACAGCGTCTCGCAGCCTGTATGAGGACTTGTAGGACTGACTAAAACACAGCTTAGACTTCAGGATGAAGGAGATGTCTCAGCTGCACTGCTGCTCCTCCTCACTTCTGCTTTATTGCAGACAGAAGGTCCAACATCAGTTTTTGAAATCAAGAAAGTAACAAGACATTTTTAAGCAGTGTTGTTGTGAGTTTGCTAACTAATCTTAACAGTAATGTAGCCTTGTGCTTCCTGTCTCAGTGATGTACCTCAGATGTTCCTCATTCCTAACCCCCCAAATCACAGAAACATGTCACACACTGTTGAATGTGCAGAAAACCGCAGGAGATGTATCTGAGCTGTGAGGAGCTGTCGACTTCCAAACTTTGACCAGTCACTTTATGAAAAAGGGAACACGTGAGAAAGTTACATTCACAGACAACAGGATGCACAGGCTTGTGAAACTGATTACACTCGTCACAGTCCGGAAACACACAGGAAGGCAGGAGAGACTAAATCTGTTTGGGAATCATATTAAGCGAGGAAAGCTGAGAATCATATGATGAACGGATGATTGTTGTACCCTACTTTAGACTTTTCCATCTCTCAAACAGACACTTGCATCAGTGAGTAATGTGGAAGGCTGCCGTGTTCGGATAAGAGGAGTTTCTGGTTAGGAAGTAGATTCCCGTCTAAACCAAACTTCATCTGTTCAACATACATGAATATAAGGCAGTGATTTTCTTTCTGTGTCACTTCCAACATATTCCCAGATTTAGGAGCATCGCTCCTCAGGGATTATTTATGTTTTCCATTTAATATGTTCAGCACACACACACAGACACACCCACACAGACAGACACACACACACAGACACACCCCTCACACAGAGACACACACACACACACACACACCGTGTCTGTTTACTTTAATAAATCAGATGTTTGTCGTCACGACCTGTGACTGCAGTCTACACACAAAAACTCATCTGCATTATTATTGTTATTCTTTGGGTCTGTTTGTTGCCACACTTCCAAAGTTCGTGGCTGTACAGTATGAATACACAGAGAAACATAAAAAAAATACCCGTATCTGTCACATGTTCAGTACAACACCGAGAGAACAAATGACTTTAGAAATAAGTCGAGCATAAATTTGAGAGACATTAAATTCTGGGCTTATTTTTGGTTTATGAGGGTAAAAAATACTTTTATCTTTCTAAATTAGTCTAATCGGTGCCGCGTTTGACTCAAGCGAAATCCACATTAAAAAATGCCCTTGCATCTTTACGTGCCATGCGTGTATATCCCACACCCCGACTCTCAGCAAAACAGAGGTAAGGAGGAACTGAGCGATGCTGGACGCGTTATTATTGCAAGCAACGGGACGGTGAGAGAAACTGGGAAGCCCAAGAGCAGACATATCGATCTCGAAAGGTAAAGCTCTTTTTTTGTTTCTCTTAGCACTGCGGTAAAGAAGCGGGCGCAGATAGTGATGGGGCTGTCAGGGCGAAGCGTTATATGCGTCCACGGCGTGTCTGTGCGTGTGTGTCTGTCAGGCTCCAGCAGAGGTGGCTCACATTAGACATTTTGGGCAGTGCCTGCGCATTTCTTAATGTGGGTGTCAGGCCGACCTGCAGAAATGACGACGTGACGCTGAACTTTGCGGTGTCAGTCGTAAGGTTGGCTGCAGGAAGCTGATGCCCAGCAGCATCCATCCAGCTAGGGGTGAAGATCACACCTCCTCATCTTTTGATACCGCGAATAGAAGCACCGCGAGCTATCTGGCACAATCTGGGCTTCATTATTGCATTGTTGCCAGCCACATGTCTCCATATTGAAATGCCGGTCAGAATCCATGCTGCTGCTGTTTCCCTGTATCAGAGGACCAGGGCCCATCTCTTCTGTCTGGCATCACACACACACACACGGCTTAAGCTAAGCAGAATAGATCACTGCGAGTAGAGGGTGAGATCAAACGCGAACAGGCTGTACAAAGATAAGAACAAAAACCAGTCTGCAGAGACGATTCCAGCCTGCTGGAGTAAAAATGAATGAACTTGGAGCACGCAGTGGCTTAAAGTGACCTCATCCTGCTTCGTTAGTCTCGTGCTGTCATCACTATCGGTATAAAATCACTCACAGGATCATCTGATATCCAAAGCACCCTTCTAATGTCTAACTGTTGGCCTTTCATGGTTGTGATGACTGCAGTGGAGGGTCTTCTTGACTCTTGAACATGGTGTGGATATCATTTAGTTTGGTTTTAAAGGTCGCCGTGCACCCCACCTTCATAGGAGCCTCTTACAGCGCATTATTGGTCCTTTGTACTTCCTCTGCCAAACCGTGATCTACATTAGCATAGACTGCGGTGTTACTGGTAATGTGGTGTCTCCATGGAAACTGGAGCTGTCATATGACAAAGTCACTTAATATTAATCTTCAAACCTGCAAGCACGCAGCACAAGATTAAAAGCTCATTACAAAGCGTGTTTCATAAACCCGGGCTTCATTGCAGTTTTAATCACCCAGAATCATCATGTGATCACAGGGCCTCGTTTCTTTTACGATTACTGCCCAGGCCTGCAGTGCCCGAGATGCACGTGTAGGCTATTGAACCATGCCCCCAGGTTTGGTTTCAGGGTTCCCCTTTTCTGAAAATCCTTGTTTGCCAAAATACAGAAAACACAGACTATACTGTATCCAGGATGTCAGGTAACATATAATCTGTGCACACAAACTCTTGAGGGGAATTACAGTAAAAAAGTGAACCCATATCTCTTCCTGAAAACCCCACAAGGACCCATGAAGGTCTCCGAGATCCCAGTGCGGGACCTGGTGTCCCATATTTCTGTCTTTGATACGATTTATCACCACAGGCTGTGAAACTCCACCGTGTTACGTAGAGTCCTTAAAATCCAATACATACGGTACACATAGAAACTGTAATTATAGCTATATTAACATCAATACAATGATACAGTGAATGTGTACCACACATGCTATCCATTATAGCCACCCTGCTACCGTCGAACCAGTCGTGTGACGTCGTTATCGCAGCTGAACCAATGAAATTACTTCTAGCAATTTTACCGCGAGGAAGCGAAATATGGGCGTGTCCATGTTCGTCCTTCCAAAGAAAACGTAAAGAAGCTGCTAAATACACAAGCGAACCAAAACGTAATGGCCTTGCTGGCTTACAGGTAAATGTACCCTGTGTCACTGGGGGCATGGTTAAGGTCCTCTCGGGCATACTTGCTGTTGCGTTGGAAGCGGCATCCTTTTGTTTTTGGGCGGAGCGTTAGCTGCTAGCCTTTTATTTAGCTAGCAGCGACTACCTCAGATAGCCGGTTGTAGGGACTCACATGGCGACACCTCTGTTGTTTCACAACGGCTCGGCTAGCTAACAGCAGCCCGTCTCCTGCCCTCGGCCTGACCCCATGGATCCCGGTGGAAGTGAACTGGACTCCAGCCTGCCTCAGCCAGACAACCCGTGTTTGATAGTGGAGGACTCCCAGCCGGACAGTGTCGCTTTAGAAGACGACCCCGAGAGCAGCTACCGAGCTCTGCTGGCCCGTCGCCTGTCCAGTCTACAGCCCACCGCTCGCAGCCCGGTACTGGTAAGGAGAAGATCTCATTCAGTAGCTCTCCTCTCTGTTGTTCTTTACTTGAGCAGATAAAGAACAATAAGCACAGATTTATACTTGAGTAAAATGGTAAGACGAGTGGCTTTTTCACGGACGTTGCACTCAACTCGACCACAGACGGTCCAGTTCATTTCCTCAGCTATCCATCCGCCCATTAATCAGTCAGGCTCACTTTGAAAAACTGGGCAAAATGCAGGCTACACTTTGGACATACTGGCAGAGGCTGGTAATCTGTTACAAGCAAACTGATTCACACTCACATCTGAGCTGTCGGGAGGACTCGGATGTAAAGAGTAAACTCGTCACACAGAGGCCTGTGCTGGCTTTTTGTTCAGACCTGCTGGCAGGCGATCTCTCCTCCACGCTCTAAAGCACTAAACCTCCAGGGAAACACTGAAGCACAGTTCATGTGAGATACAACACTCAGGCATCTGTAACAGTAAACCACTGTCGGTTAGTAGTTGTTGTGCAGCTTTAAATTAGTTTAAACCCAAAACAAATGTTGCATGTTGAAAATGTATAAAAAAGACAACTTCTGTCATTTACATTACAACCTTCCCTCTTCTAGGAATTAATATCTTCACCAATAGGAAGCAGGTGCTCTCAGACCGGCAGCCAATCAGAGAGCAACAGCCAGGCTGAGCCTGGTAAGTGTTTTCCAGTGTAGTGGGAGATAGTTAAGTGTTTCTTGTCCTGAATGAAGATAAAACAGCGCTTTTGCTTCTTTCTTAGACGGTCTTGCTGCAGCCAACCCCAGTTCAGTGTTCCAGGAGGACAGTCAAGTTTTAAATATCTGCGCTCCTCCAAACAACAAAAAGTGTGTTTGATTTGTCCACTTTTGCAGTTTGATTGTGGTCAGGGTCAGATGGCAATGAAAGGTTTCACTTTATTTTTCAGGTGTGTACCAGAGGACGCTGACATGGATTCCGGTGCTGATTCTACTACACACTGTATTCAGTCTGAAGGTACGCATTTTTCCAACACATTAAGTTCCAAAAGCATCTGCCGGTCTGTTTGATGTCGTGCTTGGAAGTAACTGCTACGGGTTGTGTTGTGTTTCAGGGGAAGCTTCTCAGTTTGGTTTTCTTGAGCTTTCTCAGACTCAGGATCTGTGTGGGGAAGCTGTGAACAGTCAGGAGGAAGACGGAGACAAATGCAACAAATTGGGTATAAGGACTTTTATCCACGTGTCTGTATTACACTGTCATTATCCACATTAATAAAGGATTGCATTCAGCTGCTTGTCGCTCTGCGTCGGGGCGGTGACGCTCTGGTTTACCTCGTATTCGTGGCGTGCCTCTGACAGGCAAAACATGGAGGCAGAACTGCTGTGCTTTTCAAACAGCTGCAACTAACATCTGTCTGCTGGGCTGCTAATGCGACCAGCATAACTAAGGTTCATGACCGTGTTTGTGCTGTTGTTGTTTGTTTACTGTTTTTTGCACTCTTAATGAAATGATCTGACAAAATAATGATGGCTGTGTCTCCAAGGAGGAGTGAAATACTATTTTATTAGCACTTCATAGCACTCATTAGCAGGCATCTATTTCACTGTGATTCATACATGGACAGGTGATTTGCTAACAAAGCTGGCCACCTTATGTGCTAGCTTACAACTTTAGATCTCGCTGGGCCTTTGTTTAAATTTTGATGTCATGATTTTGGCTTCCAGTGGAAACAAGATAATGGGTCCTTTTTTCACTTTTTGTTACTAAATGCTTGTTTTTGTGTTGTGGTAAATCAAGCACAACCATTCGATTTGCACGTCTTCAACATAAATACACACATGATTTAGTTCAGCAGTATCTACGATGACACACAGTCGTTAGTCAACAAGACTTGTGTTGAAAAAGTTGTGAAAGATTTCACTGATTGCACCTGTAGAAAGATCATTAGTGGCCCAACTGGTCTGGTTTCAGTGACACGTCACTCTGCTGTTGATCAGCTGTTTGCTGTTTATTGCTCCCTCGGCCCCTGCTGTGCGTCTCCTTACCCCACCTGACACCATCGTGCATCCCACGGTGAAGACTTTGGGCCAGCAGGAGCTGATGGTTGCCCTTGCTAAAAGGGCTTTACAGTCAACAGCATCAAGTCCAGATGACTCTTACATTCATCACCATGGTCACCCCTTTTTTGATTTTGATTTTAAATAATCATAAATAGTGGAAATTGCAGTTATTGAACAAACACATTGTGATGGTTATTGGTCGAAGCAAACAGCCCTACTTCTGCTTTCAAATAAGCAACACAGCAGAGATCAAAATGCTTATGTTGAGTCTTGGACACAGGATTCACAAACATGGTGATTGATGTTGCCTTGTGTGCTGCCATCCTTTATATACAGTCTATGGTTGCAACAGAAATGCGTTCCTGATCTCTGGATGCAGAATGAGGGGTGCTGGGTATAATTACGTTTTTACTTGTTCCGATCAGAGCATTCCCAGTGACTCCATGAAGTTAAACAAAATAATCAATGTTCTCTTCATTCCCAGCAGAGCAGAACATCAGTTCCAGGACTTCAGAAAGTCAGGACAGCAAAGCGTTGAGGTGCAGCTCCATGTGACCTTTCAAAGTCTGCATTCATTAGATGTTCGTGTTTTGGCTTTGCACTGAAATTTCTTTTCTTCTCCAGGTCTGAGGTGAGCTCCAGCAGCTCATCAGAGTCTTTGGGTCAGTCAGGCAGGCAGCTGAGTGTCCAGGTCCTGCTGCACTCGCAGAACCTGCAGGACTCTGCTGAGCAGGACCAGCAGGACTGTGAGATCCTGTCCTCACAGGACGACCTGTTCGATGCTGACAAGACAGGTACATTCATGTAGCACTCGAAGGATTACACATGTTGTCTTTTTAAGCCCATCACCTTCATATTGTCTAAGACCACACTGACAAACTGTCACATCAGAAATGTTGGCCTTAAGTGTGAGTTGTGGCGTTTTTTTTGGAAGGTTGCCGTCTGGCAGTCAGCGCTATTTGGACAAACCTTTCAGGTCTCATTTCTGTAACAGGTGGGCTGTGGATAACTGAAAAACACATTTTGGCAGAGGTGTACTGTGTCAGCCTTGTAATTTAAATTATTTAAAAATGCAGGTCTTTTTTAGTTTAATATTTTTTAATCATTAACTATAAAAAAGGGTCTTAGTTCCTGTTGTATTTTGCTTATTTATTCATTCTCATCTCACTCCACGCCTTCCACACCCAAACATGACTGTATGCTCTTTGACTGCCTCACACATAGTAACCCAGGGGCTGTTGGAGGACGAGTGTTTGAAAGTTCCTCACTGTGAGGAAGAGACACAATAACTCAGTTATTTACCTAAATGATTTGCCCTGCTTACATTTTGCTGTTAAGTTAGTGACGAGCTAACCAACAGATGTTGAACGTAGCGTAAAAATGAGTTTACAGGGAAATCAACGTGGACAAGGTTTCACCTGACGTGGTTGTTTGTTTTTTGTTAAATCACAAATAATCACAAACACATGGAACGTGTTGGCGCAGTGAGCATGCCCCTGAATGGCAAAGCCTCCTTTGCTCTAGTCGTCTTCAGCGATCTCTAAGCCCTTACAGCTACGCTGGTGTGCTCCTAACATAGGGTGAGGCTTAGTAGACACGCCCATATAAACCCGTGTATGTGTTTAAATCAGAATAACTGTGAAAAAATAACTCGCTGTATGAGAAGTTGTTGAAAGTAGAGGTGTGCAGCCCAGTTTGTGCTTCCTTCACTGCGAGTAACAGTCCTGGTTTGTTTCTCTCGTACAAACAGAAAATGATCTGAAATTACTCAAACTGCTTCTTTGCTTTCAGGTGCTGCAGTGGACAGTACAGTGTCTGAGCCGGAGCAGCAGGGTCACCCCACCTCCACACCCGCCCACACCCTACAGCTGCTGCATCTATCGGGACAGGGAACACTGGTGCAGGAGAGTCTGTCCCAGTAAGCGGCGTGCTGCTCTTGCATCATTCACACACAATAAATCCCTGAAAAATGAGCTGATGTCCTTTTTTCTCTCCCCTCTAGGAGCTCTGTTGATTATGTCGCCCCCACCCCAGACAACTTTAGCCATACCCCTTTAATAGTTCCCAGCTCACCAACCGAACTAGAGGATGAAAATGGTAGATCTGCTTTATTATCTCAGTTTGGGTTCAGACATGGAATCAGCTGGTGGATAAAGCTAACGTCCCTTTGCATTGTCAGGTGCTGATTCACAAATGGATACGTCACTGCCTCCGGATGACAGGGGAGCAGGAGAAAAGGACGAGCCAATGGAAACCGAGGCCGCCCCCAAGCCACAACCATCTGCATCTACTCCCATATCCCAAAGTTCCCCTGGTTTTGCTTTAGAGCGAACTCTCTCTGTACCGTCCCAGCCCGAGTTCTCTCATGTATGTCCTTCACTCTTTACTTTCAGCAGCCTATTTAAAATGTTCCCAGTAGAAAATATGGATTATATATGTGATGTATTAAATTGTCAGAGGATAGAGTGCTAGGCCCAGTGACAAAGACCGTTTGACCTGTCTAATCAATAAAAAATGCAAAGATCAGCAGATGATGTTGTGGTCGGCTGTAGGTCAGCTGACCAGCTGGTTGAAGAGTTCATTGATTTCAGCACCAACTTTGTTTGTGCCCTTATAAAGAAAACCATGTTGACTGTAGTTGTTCCTCTGAGGAGGAGAACCGTTCCTTTCAGTGTAGGACTGCTGCTGGTTGTTACACCGGGTCTTTGTGCCGCTCCTCCTTTCACTCTCAGAAATGAAGGGAGACGTGGTAAACAGCTTTCGTCTGATTGGCTGCCCCTCGTAAAGAGAGTTTGAGCAGCAGGTAGAGTTTGCTTCTGTGTCAGATGAGCAGTATGTCCTCTCAGTCACATCCTGCAACGTCCAGTTTAAAGGCTGAATCTCTGGTTTATAACTGCGCAAAAGTCTTGAGTCATCTGGGTTTTGTATATCTTGTTCTTTCAAGCAGACAGCTTCTTGTAGCTTTGGACAGTTTTCCAGACGTTCTAAAGGTCCAAAGGTTTCTTTGGACATTTGCTGTTTTTTTTTTTTTTTGTTTTTTTTTCCTTCCCTTCACTCATTTTAGTTCATAACATTAACCTATGATTAATTCAAGCATAAAAGGCTCCTAACTTAACGGGTGAGCCAGTGTTGTCTATTGTATCTTTTGGCACTTGGTTATTAGAAGTCTGTCACAGAAACACATAATGTGTTCCCATCATTTTCTTTTGTTGAGCCTATGAAGCATACCAATGATAACAGTCTGTTTCAAGTTTCATGTCCCAGCGTGATGTGCACCAAAAATAATCTGAGGAAACTGGACAAAAGAGACAGCAGGTCTGAGACTATCGGCAGCAGATGAACATCTGAAAGTCATGTTTTAAGATGCCTGACGCAGGACCTAAGAGACACGTGTGACTCTGTATTAGATCCACCGGCTGATCAGTGAAGCCTCGTCAGGAACGGTCTCAGTGGAAGGCTGAGATACGCCAAGTTACACAGAGGCTGGGCTGAAAATCAGGAAAGTGACGAATGCACAATTTCTGGTTCAAATGAATGTAAATGTGTAGCGAGGGTGTGCAGTGACCCTACTGCCACCTGTAGAACAGGGTGGAGGCTCTGACGTGGTTTGAGGCTGCGTTTCAGGGATTTTGCCAAACCAGGTGGAATTATGAACATGGAAAGCATCTGACTGACAGTGGCTTCAGGTTTTTCAGTGTAGCCAGGCACACTGCCAGTCCACAGTTCACCACAGTGTGGGATCACTTTGACAGAAAGCAGAACAAACCCGGCCAATGTCCAAAGAGACCTGGAGAAGTAGTGCTGAAGACTGCTTAGAAAAAGCAGGAATGCCTAAGAGAGCTGAGGCTGTGTTGGTAAAATAAAGCAAAAGCTCTTCTTCCCTCATAAGTGCTACGTTTGCACGCGTGTCGATAAATGTCTTCCCAGTTTTCCTGGTAAAATATAAAAAAATAAAGGGTGACTCAAAAGTTTTGCACAGTAATGCAGACTAACTTTGAAACTTTGGTGCATGCGTTGGTGCATGCGTAGAAAATGAATAGTTAAATAGACTTAATGCAGTGTGTGAATAAACGTGTCGTTTAGCTGCAGCTCTGATGATTTTCTGTGTTTCTAGGACGTATTTGTTCCGACGCAGAGCCAGGATGCACAGACGCATGAAAAGTCAGCGTCGTTGCCTTGTGAGACAGAGTCTCAGCATCTTGAGTCAGCTCCCTTCACCTTGCCTTTGCAGCTCTCTGTGAACACAGAGAACAGCAGCTGTCATCAGCTCACCTCTGAGGAGGACAGCCAAGCCACTCAGATAGAGGAACTGGAGGAGCCGCTTGCCGTCGACACCAGCGACTCTGTGATTTCGTGTCACGATCAGAGAGAGGAGAGTAAAGCCGTCCCGTCGGAGTCACAAGCCGCCGCCGGCTCCAAAGTGTTGTCCTCTGCTGAATCACCGAAGCGCCACGTTGAATGTGCTGAGACTGAAGCGACCGATCTGGCCCAGAAATCAGCAGTTTCTCTGAATGTACAAAATGTGAATGTAAACGATGTGAAGGCTGACAGCAAAGATGCTGGCTGTGCTGACATGGTGTCTTGCTCGCAGCCAAAGTTTGATTCTGCTGATCTGACAGGTAAAAGCTGTGTGCAGGAGACTCCCTCAGACGCTACGCCCTGCAGCCTGCTTTCACAGTCTATGATTTCTCAAACATCTGCTGTGGATGCAGATGTGTCAGGAGGAACTGTAAAAAGTCCCTTTGTGGAATCGTCGTCGCCGCAGCCTGAGGTGGGGTGCAACAGCCAGGCAGACAAAAACTCAATGCACGAACGAGGTGAAGAGGAGGATCAGGAGGTGGCGATGGAGGTGGAGAACGCCGAGGGTACCTCGGGAATGGGTCTGGTTCTCTCCCAGAGCCAGCTGTTGTCTCCTGAACCCATGGACGAGGAGATTGAGGACAAGGCAGAGGACAGCATCCTCTGTGTAACAGACAGTGAGAAAGAGGTGGCGTCACAATCAAAGACTCACAGTTCTCAACCAATCACAGGCCAAGTGTCAGTCTCTACCAATGGCCATGAATCCCAGACTCAGGAGAAAGAGGCGCACTCGGCTCCCGATAGGCTGTCCCAGACGGAGAGGGCGGGCTGTGAACCAGAGGCCCTCAAAGAAAAGAGCTTGAGCGACAGCTCGGGAGGTGAGCGTTCTGAAGATGTGTTTTCTGCAGAGTAAGCAGAGAGTCGTGTCCACATAGAGTCCAAAGAGTAAAAACCCAAAACCCAGTAGTGTCTGTTAGAAAGAACTGAAAGGCCTGTTTTAAAGGTGGAATTACTTTATCTTTGTCTTTAACCTGATTCCACTCGTGTGTTTCTGCTACAGACATTTCATTCCACTTCACCCTTCCTAAAGAAGGAGACTTGATTGGACCTGTTGTCGGCGCCACGCCACCGCTGATCAACCAGCTGAAGCAGACGCTGAGACACAGCACTCCCATCGGTGAGTGGCACCACACCGGTTCACCAAAAGCCAAAGAACATAACACGGTCCTAGTAATATTATTTTTTCCCTCCTCCAGAGATCAGCTCTTTTTCTGAAAAGTCGGATGCAGTGGGTGATGTCTCTGCAGACGTGGTGATGGCCAGCAGCGATATCGTTTTGGGTGGAAGTGGCGGTGACGCAGCTGACAAAGGTGACGGGAAGCTGAGCTTGAGGATGAAGCTGGTGACGCCCGTTGAGGAGGGCAGCTCGGAGCGTTTCAGCCTGCAGAGTAAGAACTCCTTCCATGCTGTTTGTGAAAAAGTGTCTCGCTGCCGCACGCTCAGCGATGCATTTCTTTCCCCAGAGCCGACGCCACCAGAAGAGGATGGATCGGTCACCAAGGTTACGACCGTTTCCCAGGCTGTAACCAGGTAAGCTGGCGCTCTCTCAGCACGTTAATTAAATTCTTTCATTTGTCGTCTTCTTCTCATTTCAGTCTAATCCACTTGTGCATGCTGTCTCTGTGTCATCTCCCAGTGTAGTTTGAGGTTTTGAGGTGCTCACGTCGTATTGATTGAACTCTAAATAACATTTTTAACTTAGTACTTTGTTAAAAGTATGCACCAAAACTTTATGTTGGATTCAAATTGTTAAATGTTGCCATTGTTGTACTTAAATTTGGAAACCGTGCCTTAAACTGCATGGTTGGATATTCTTCTGCTCCTCCCCGACACATCTGTGATGCTGTGGGAGGTAATTAGCTGTTTAACTGCAGGCACATTCCACGTGACATTCTGGTTTCCTTATCTTCTGAGGGATGTCCACCCCCGGTCATTTAGGGGCTCGCCTATGCTTGCATATGGTGAACCATTAGAGTTAAGCCGTATACGGGTGTGGGGAGATGACCTTTAGATAACCAGGAAATGTGGTTACACAGTTGTAAGCATATATTGTGTGGCAGGAAGACACACACACACACACACACACACACACACACACACACACACACACAGTGTTTCAACCTTTTGTGACCATAGTTTTTTTTACAATGGGTGCTGCTTGTATTCTCAGAATAAAAGGCTGTTTATTCGAGGTTGGCTAGGAAACGGGTGAGGAGCGTTCAGCTCCAACAGCCTGGTTCCGACCAGCCTCCGTTCCGTCGTTGTCTTGCTTTCTTCATGAGTGAGGAGTCTCTGAACTAGTGGGGCTGCTGAAGCTCACTTTCCTTAAAGCTGGGATGCAAAAGTAACATTAATGAGGTTTTCTTAAGGTTGGCTAAAGTCTGTCAGTGTGAGGCACAGGTGTTGAACTCCAGGCCTCGAGGGCCCTGCAGGTTGTAGATGTGTCCTTGATCCAACACAGCTGATTTAAATGGCTAAATGACCTCCTCAACATGTCTTGATGCTCTCCAGAGGCCTGGTACTGAACTCATCGGGTTCAGGTGTGTTGACCCAGGGTGAGATCTAAAACCTGCTGGACACTGACCCTCCAGCCTGGAGTTCAACACCCCTGGTGTAATGGATATATGCATGGGTAGATTTAAGTGTCTTACTGCATGTACTGTACATACTCATTTGCTAGACTGTAAGCATGCAGGTAGTGTGCAGTGCAGTGACTGGATATCAAGCATGTTGGTTTGCTTACTATGTTAAAGAAATCGTTTTCTTTGAGCTACGGCGCGTGAGGATAAAACTTTAAAGGTTTGTTGTTCCATTGTTGACGTTCCAGCAGCCCGTCGGTGTTCACTCGGGTCAGGCAGGTGCACCGACAGCAGGAGGTGGAGGAGGACAGCCAGCCTGGAGGAAACACTACACTGGTCAGGTAAGCTCACATCATAATCTCACAGAGGCAGATAAATGCATAAAGATTGACACTGTTTAAGCCTTTCACTGTGCTTGTCAATAAGGAATGCCATTACAGGTTCATATGTCTGGATAAATGTTGTGACTTTGCACTGCAGGCATGAAGGTCCGCAGGGAAAAGCCTGCCACACGCTCACAGCAGTGTTGTCCCACTTTTGTTAGCATTTTGAGCCTGTGATTTGCCCAGCGTTAATGTTAGCACATGCACATGACAGCATTCACCACACTGGCTGTCCTGTGTCATCCTGACACTATCTGTGCCCACTTTATAAATCATCTAGTCCTTCACATGTCTGTCCGACCCTGGGATTTGTCCCCTGATGTAGTGTGTGTTAGGACAGAAATAGGCTTCGTGCTGTGAGCCTGCGTGTGCATGTGACAGTGAGACCTACTTTGTTTCCAGAGGAGATTGGGTGGTTATTTTTTCTACTTGGTGCGTATTCTCTCAGGACATGGAGAGTGGTAAGGTGTGACAAAGTTGGGTCATTGTGCTGAATGTTCTCTGCAAACGTAGTGGAACAGCCACACTGCTGTGATCTGTGATCTTATCAGTCGACTGATTAAGAAAAGACGCGTCCATGCCATGTGTTTACCTTTGGAAAGTAAAGGTAACGATTTGGTGTGTGACACTGCTTTTGGAGCCTTTGGTACAAACAGGTTTTCAGCAAATCTGTGAAAAGCAGTGAACAGAAGTATTTTGTGGTTGTTGCTGGACTAACTAACCACTAGAAAAGCTAAACATGAATGTTTAAAAGCAGAAAGGTTCTCGTTGGGATTGCTGACCTGTAATTTGATCACTGGTAAGATGCTCCATAGTTATGTACCGTCTTTTCCAGGGGGGAACTGTTCGCCTCACCACAGAGGAGCTCTCAGGCGTCCGTATCGAAATGCAACAGTCTGCCGAACAGCCAGGATGTATCGACCGCGCCGCAGCAGGACCTGCGGGATGCGCTCACCCCTGCTGAGCCGCCTGAGGACAGTAGAGGACTGCCTGATGCTCAACAGCCGACCTCCCCGAGCAGCACAACAGTCAGGCAGAAGGTGGTTTCCCAGCCGGCCTCTGAGAACACCATCACCTCCACACCGCCCAGCAAGGTATGCGACTCAGGATCAGTGATGCAGAGTTGAATAAAAATGTGGTCTCCATCATATTTGATGTTATTGTGATATTAATCAGTCTGTCCTGTGTGCTCAGACATGCCAGCGGACCGTCTCCCAGCAGACCGGCTTCGATGCAGCGGGGTTTCGCTCCCCAGCTGGCCGGGTACGCACACTGAGCCTCTTTGGACGAAGAGATCAACCACGCGTTTCTATCGTTCATTTGTCATTCTTCAATTTCTTTTGTATTGAAAGGGTGAACCCGAGTCCCCGTCCTTTAGAAGAACCGCCGTTCCCTCTCACCGCAGACACGTGCGCACCATCCAGGAAGTGCGGACCACCGTCACTCGGATCATTACCGACGTGTATTATGAGGACGGCAAAGAGGTGGATCGCAAAGTCACCGAGGTAACTGTCTCTGGGTCTGATTCCCGGAGCCTGTGTTTTTGTATTTGCTGTCTGTCAGAACATGTCAGGGCTGTAAGTTCATGCAATCCTCCTCTGCACAGTTCAGAGAGCAGCACTGCTGTGCAAATCAATTATGTGATTTTATCGAGAAACATCACCGTGATTAAAATCTGCATCATTTGTCCAAACACAGTGTTTGTTTAATTTCTGCTGAATATTCATTTCTTAAAAAATCACATGGGTCTGAGTGTGCATGAGCACGAGCTGCAGCCTCCAGAACGAGCAGGAAAGCATTGACTGCCATGCAATCCTGTGCAGACATCCGTGGTTCTTTCACTATCAGGCCTCTTTGTTTTTAAAGGAAAATGTATTTATGGATTTTGGCTGTTTAACGTGTTCGTGTCACTGCCCGACGTGTCTAGGAGAGCGAGGAGCCCGTGGTGGACTGTCAGGTCCTGGACAGCGACATCTCTCCGTGCCGCACAGGCAGCAGTTCTGTGACCTCTGGTGATCTGGGGGACATCAGCTCGCTTTCGTCCAAAGCGTCCAGCCTGCAGCACAGCTCCGGGGGAACCAGCAGCAGTATGGGCCTCACCAGACCAGACTTCATCATTCCAGCGAGCAGAGGGTTCAAATCCACGAGGTAACCCCTCATCCTCCACCGTCCCAAAGTTCTTACCGTTTCTCCTCAACCTTCCTGCTCTTTCTCTCTGCACTAGTTGCATGCTGTGTCACTTCTTCACCTGCTGTGACTCTAACACCCTGATTTCTCAGTGATTCACTGATCCCTGCCTGCGACAGGTCCGTGTTGTCACAGGTGTAGATCTGGGGTCGCTGCACAGCTCTCACTTGTCAGTGAGGTGACTTTTCAAAGTGTCCCCAGATCGGTGCCTGTGCAACCTGACCGGCTCCATTCGTCCCCTCTGTGTGTCTGCAGTCCAAGGAGGGGAGGTGGGCATCAACAGAGGGGTCACAGGGGTCACAGGGCAGGGTCAGTGGTCACACTGAACAGAGGCTACAGCACGCTGGGGTCCCGGGCCTTCGTCCCGCTGACCCCCAGAGGAAGGGCTAGAAGGGGCCGACCCCCGTCCCGCTCCTCCCTGTCCAGGTGAGTCCTCTCTGAGGCTCGCTCTGCACTTACAGAAACCATGGACAGGAAACACTCTGAGCCCTCGCCAGCTGCACGACCTTAATAACACTTTTTCCTTTTCTTACTCATTTTCTTCTCACTCAAACCTTATTCAGGTCCACCGCTTGCATCGCCGTGAACCTGCCTCGTGCAGATTTACCCTGCGTAGTTAATCTGGGGCTAGATGGGGTGCTGCGTGTTATCACATTTGCAGAGTTTGTAGCTGATGCTCTTGAAGTGCTCCCATGCCACACAGACAGCAGCAGATTAGACTGTAAGCTTTAGTTGAGGTACGGGACAGAAAGCTAGTTTGTCTGCTAACCTCCAGCTGGATAAAAGCTGCTTTAAAGATACTCGTGGTTTGTTTCAACAAACAAGGATTATTTTGACATAGCAGGTCCAAAACAGCACTGTGCGTACTGTTAAAGCTAAAGGATATTCACTGATTCCATTAAAATTCCGTGAATCTGTGGAATGTCTTCCATCTCTGCTTGGATAGGGACAACACAGGCCTTTTATACGAGACTGTTCTCTCTCAAAGGGGAGGAGGCGGTGGCTCGCTGCAGAGACTGACGGCTCAGGGCCAGCCACAGTCGTCCTCAGAAGATGAGCCGTACAGCCGCGTGCTCCCCGTCAGCCCCACGGACCCCGAGCTGCCCAGCCACTCGGACTCCCTCAGGTCTTCGCCAGAGGCGGCGAGCTCAGCCGGGAGCAGCTTCATCGGCCTGCGGGTGGTGGCTAAGTGGTCATCCAATGGTTACTTCTACTCTGGTCGCATCATCAAAGACGCCGGCGAGGGGAGATTCCGCTTGCGGTTTGACGATGGCTACGAGTGTGAGGTTGCCGGGAAGGATATCCTGCTGTGTGATCCCATCCCGCTGGAGACGGAGGTCACTGCTCTGCTGGAAGACGAGTACTTCAGTATAGGTGAGGAAGTGACCGCGCGTAGTTTAGTAAGATCGCTGTGGTGATTTTGTTTTTTGTCCTTTTCTTCGACCTGGTTTAGACTGAGGAGATTTAACAGTGACATCAGCTCTGACTGTTTCTGTGGTCGTTGCATGAAAGACTAAAACATGCAGGACCGATGGTTCTTGTGTTTGTGCAGGTGTCGTTAAGGGCCATAAAACAGAGGGCCAGGAGCTGTTTTACAGCGTGGAGAAGGAGGGTCGGAGGCAGTGGTACAACAGGACATCGGTCATCCTGTCGCTGGAGCAGGGAAACAAGCTGAGGGAGCAGCACAGCCTCGGGCCCTACGAGCCCACCACTCCCCTGGCCAAGGCCTCCGACATTAGTCTGGGTGAGGCAGCCGCAGAGCTGAGGATGGACCCACACGGCTGTGGTACCGCCTCTGCCCGTGACTGTGCTTAACTGTTTTAAACCTCGACAAGACGGATTTTATTTTCACCTACAGTCCTCCTTAAACAGGTCAAACTCTTTGAAACAGACCAATAGAAAGTTCAGCCTGAGTTTAACCAGGTTCCTTCTGATCCTCTTCTCGACTGATGCGTCTGTTCCTCTGATCGCAGCTCTCACTGTTTTTAGAGCTTTTCAAAGCCAATCATTCTTATCGATGATGGAGACGGAAGGAACCAATAACATGCATGTTATAGTGTGTTTCTTACAGTACACAGTATGGTGTGGAGCCAGTGTTAGCATCTTCTTCTGGCCCGTGCGTTCCTCTGTGATGACAGTCGGGTCAGCACAGGGTCATTATAAAAGGACGAGGTCCCATTCTTAGTTTTTTACTCAGACATGCAGCCTTAGAGGTTCCTCACTTATTTTAATGCTTAGAGGCAGTAACTACAGGAAGTCTGTGTGTTTGTCCCAGCAGGCAAATGCAGTAGTATGTAAACGGCAGGCTCAGAGAGCTGGGAAGAAGTCCTGCATACATGTAGCACTCTGTCTAAAGAATTCACTAGGAAGAGCTTGGTTTGCTTCAGGGGGCTGTGAGCCTGTTTGGAGTGTTCACGCATCATCCTGAACTCAGCTTAAAGGCACCTTTGAGAGCCCTGGTTTAATGTAAAGGTAGAACGTACAGAACGCCATCAGGAGTGCTCGATGGCGCCTTTCATTCGTGCCCGCTGATACAGCTGCACTGAAAAATGAGACCAGAGCAGCGTTTCCTCGGCACACTGAACCTTCCTAACAGTGATCGTTTTCTGCAGCAGCTGTATTTAATAAAACCCACAGCAACAAACAAAGCCACCATCCTCTGATCAGACACGTGTGTTTGCTCTTTGCTCCGCCCTCTGACATTTAAGGCTTGGGTTCACCTTTCAAAACATGACGATTAAGATTATGCTGGCTGTGTAAGTTATGATGAGATCAGGGTTAATTGTTCAGGAGACAGATGACGTACAAAGATTTGCTCTGGAAGCAGGCGTGGCCGTCTAATACAGAAGCTCTGTTCCTGCGCCAGACTCCACCTGTGTTATTGCTCCCGAGAGTAAAGACTACCTGTGTCATCCTACAGCTCATATTAGTGTCCAAAGCATCATCAGCAGACAGACGTCGTCCAGCTCTTCAGATACACTGAGACCTATAGTGAGACCAGTGTTTAAACCTAATATATGCTACTGTGTCAAGCTGAGTGTTCCCTTCAGTTTGCTGATATTTATTATTGTCCTCAGATAACTTGGTTGAGGGGAAGAGGAGACGCAGAGGAACCCCTGGAGGTCAGAACACTCCCAACCGCAGCTCCTCCAACAGCCCTCGCTCCCCGGGAACCTCCAGCAAGAGGAAGCTGATGGCCTCAGAGGACAACCAGGGGCCAGCCAAGAGAGGGCGCAGGGGGGCGGGGGCCAGAGCTGGTACGAAGACCGACTCGCCGTGACCATGGCTGTGTGTGTGTGTGTGTGTGTGGTTTGTTGGGGTTAATGTCATATATTTATGGTATTGCAGTTAACTTTGAATTTTAAAGTTGTGATTTTAAACGCGATGCAAACTGGTTTTAATGGACTGTTGATGATTAGCAGCTGATTTTTAACAGTTTTAAGATGACTTTTAATGATTGTGTGTTATAAACTGTTTTATTCGTCCTGATGCAGACTTGATTCAGGTTGTTGTTCATGTGAAATCAGTAATATGCCATTTTTGTACTGAGCATAATGAAGACCTGTGTCTGCGGCCTGTGTGCGTCCTCTGCTGCTGAGACCGACTCGGTAATGAATAATCCACCCGCAGTTTTAGCGTGGTGTTCTTCACGGGTGGAGGGGAAGGGAAGTGGATTTCACGGGTACATTATGTGAGCACAGCTGTTCTGTTTGACGTTGGGAAGGCGAGTTCAGCCACATCACAGAAACAGTTTCTCTGAGCTCTGTGCGCCCACCGTGGGTGTGTTATTTCCCGTGCTGTGAGGAATGATGCTGCTGTTACACTCCTGCTTTATTCTCTGGGCAGGAACTCTTCCACACGTCACAACAATACATCAGAAACTTTCTCCATGGTTAAAAAAAGTGAGAAACTGCTTTATTGTGGCTTTGGGTGAACTCGTCCTTTAAAGAAAGTGCAGCACTGTTCCCCGTCTTTAACCTCTAAGTCCTGCGTGTGTTTGCGTCCTCAGCTCAGCGGGTCGGTGTGTGCAATACCTCGGGCAGTGGCACCGATGTCCCGGGTCAGTCTGGGGACGTGGAAGACTCTCACGGTCCGCTGCCCCAGAACACGTCCCTCTTTATGGGCTTCGCTTTCATGCTGACCGCGTCGTCTGAGACCGACCGCCTGACCAACAAGCTCACGAGCGAGGATGAGGAGGGTGAGACAGATTCTGCTTCGGTACCTCCAGATTTGATTTTGACAAAGCCCAGAGTTGAGCCTTCAGTTATGTCACATAAACACTAATGTTGCATAAAGATTTGTCTGGAAGCCCAAACGTAGCTATCGACAGGGTTTTCTGTTGGCGGCAGCAGTGTTGCTCACTGATGAAGCAGTGATATCATCACATACATGTGCCTGGACAGATGAACATGAACACTCACTCTTACTGCTTTTCCCCAGTGATCGTGCATTTAATAACACTATATGTTTCCACATGTTTGAGAAGCATTTGGTGCATAAACTTGCTTATCGGGCTCGTTCCCACTGTGGGAGAATCACAGTTTCAACTACAGCGAGTAAAACTTCTTCCAGTAGCACCACTGGGTCCAGTTTAGCCCATCATTTTGTGGTGCTGATTTCTGGGCCATAATTACCTCTTTCCCACTATGTGGTGCTGGTGCCCCTCACCCCCAACTGGTCATGGTGCTGGCGGAGGGTTCTTCCTTCCCACTGTCGCCAAGTGTCTGATAGTTTGGGTTTTCTCTCTAGTTTTGTGGGGTCTTTATCTTACAATATAAAGAAAATTGAGGCGACTGTTGTCATTGTTTGGTGCAATATAAATACTGTCAAACTGAACAGGACTCCACATTATCAGAAAAAGTGTGATGACCTGCACAAACGGTTTTCTCCACGGTTTGCAGAAATGTTCACGGTAGCTAACACACCAAACACTCAAAGTAATGTTTTTGTGTATTTCCAAAAAGTATTGGAACATCAAAACAACCACGAATAAGCTACAATGAACTAACAATGACAAAATGCATATAATGTGCAGCCAGGTGCATCTCGGGATATTAAAGGGGGCTGATTGTGGTTTACATGGTTCACAGCTGAAAGTAATCCTCGTCCTATGCTGACCTCGGTGCAGCTCCTCAGTTCATCCTCTGTCTGAAACCGTCTGTTTCAGCTGCAGCTCCAGGCAGCTTTCTTCTGCTTAGCTGCCTCACAGACAGATGAGGGGAACATAATTATCCGCTCTGAGAAAAACACTCTGAAAGTGGGTGTTCAGAGCATCCCGAGCGTTTTGCACAGACTTATTTCATTATGTGAAACTGGCTTTGTTTAATATGAACATTCACCACTGGAAACATGAGAGTATGTGCGGCTGGCTAACTACACACTGGACTCAGCCCTAATTACAATTGTTGACGCTCTTCCTGCCTCCTTTCATGCTTTTCTCTTCAGATTATGTGCAGACGGGTCCGTATAACAAGTCATACACAGAAACCCAGCTGCAGGCGGGCGGAGGCTTCATCCTACCAAACTTCAATGAAGAACAGGTAAGTAATGAAAACACAAGCATGTGCCTGTGATCACACAGATATGTTTATGTTACACATATCTGTGCCATAAATCTGTCCAGCTCCAGGCTGTATTCACCAAAGCAATATCAGTGGCTGGTCATGTGCACGTGGTCTTCTCCGTGGTTACAAACATCACCTAAAGTCGGATGCAGTGCAGTAAATGAGTGTGTGTTTGATTCCCTTTTCAGTGTAAGGCAGCTTACCAGAGCCTGCTCATCGCGGACCAGCACTGCCGTACCAGGAAGTACCTGCTGTGTTTAGCCAGCGGCGTGCCGTGTGTGTCGCACATATGGGTGAGAGACTGCTGCAAAGAAAACAAACTGCTCAACTACAGGAACTACCTGCTGCCTGCCGGCGTGGGGCTGGACGATGCCATAGTGGAGTGGTGAGAGGCTGCTTTCTGTTTGGGATTTATTTATCAGTACGGTGCAAAAATAAAAGGTTCCATATGAAATGTAGCACATCTGCTGCACATCACATCAAGATTTGTTTTTATTGGGGGAACATGAAAGTCAACAAACAACCAAATGGTAACTGGACTGGTTCTTATACAGCACTTTTTCTACTCTTCTGAGCACTTTACACAACTTGTGCATTCACCCATTCACACACATTTTCTAAGTGCTTTCTAACATTCACACATGCATCAGAGAGCAATTTGGGGTTAGTATCGTGCCCAAGGATATTTGGCATTCAGACTAGGGGAAGCCAGGAATCGAACCACCAACCTTCTGATCAGTAGATGACCTGCTCTCCCGCCTGAGCTACAGCCACCCCAAACAACACGTGTGGGCACCAAATGCTGTAAGTTTACTGATGAAGCCAGCAGTGCAGTTTGCATTGAGACTTGGTCCAAATTAACACCAGTGTAGAAGTCAAACGACCATCTTCTTTTGAAAAATCTTTATTGGAATTGACACTCAAAGGCAAAATCAAGCTCCACCCACCTCGTCATTTGACCTGTTTGTATAATAAATGAAACGGATCACATGGCTGATCTCTGCTCTTCTAATAAACGTCTTTCCTTGTGAGCAGTAAAGTGGCAGATTTCAGCACATTAGGGGGTAAAAGTCTCGTCTGCTACAATGTAACAGGTGGATGTTACTTCAGAATGGAAACCAGTGTGAAAACGTGCTGATAAAATCCTGGTTTGGTAAATGGCCTGCATTTGTATAGCGCTTTTCTAGTCCCTAAGGACCCCAAAGCGCTTCACACTACATTCAGTCATTCACCCATTCACACACGCATTCACACACTGGCGATTGCAAGCTACATTGTAGCCACAGCTGCCCTGGGGCGCACTGACAGAGGTTTCTCCTACTGTTCCTCGTCCTCAAGAGGTCAGAGGTGTAAGAATCCCAGCTGATTCAGTGATGTCATCTGCTGTGACATTGTTTTATGATGGTACTTTGGTAAAGTGTTCTTGTTTATAAGTCACAGAGCCTTTGTTCTTTCTGATCTTTTCTGTTTGTCTCTCAGGCATCCTCGCTGCAGCCCCTTCAAAGGCCTGCGGGCTCTTCTGGTGTTTGAGAAGCCGGTGGAACTCTGGGCCCAGCTGATGACCATGGGTGGAGGCTCCTCCGTCCGGCAGTTCCAAGCAGACAAAGACGACTCTGGTACAGGATCCACACAGTGATGTCCAAACAATGCACCCTGTCTCGCTGCTGTGCTGAAACTAATGCGTTCACTTTCCCGCTCCATCCTTAGACATTCCTGCTGGCAAGTATGACCTCGTGGTGACAGACCATGCCTGTCCGCTGCTGCTCGAGAAAAGCGCAACATCACAGGAAATCCCGCTGGTGTCTCCGGAGTGGCTCATCCAGAGTCTCATCTGCGGGGAGCGCCTGGCTTTCGATTGCAAGCCTCAGTTTTGCCACGACTATTCCTCGTCCTCGTCGTCCTCATAATCTGACCCCACGTGCAAAATGCCTTTGACCAAGCTAAATGTTGAGCGTTAGTTCTGTTGCATGCTTCTGCTGTATATAACTTGATCCTGTCCGTTTTTATGAGATAATAAATTGTGACCCTTGTTTCATTTTAATGCATTGATGTTTATTTTCTCCACACAAAATGGTACACGCAACAAGCCGTTAATATTTACAGTTTATACAAGAGTCAAAGGGAGGATTCACCCACGTTACATCCAGCAGTGCTTCTGTGAGCTCTGCCTCCATGATCCAGCGTAGTTCGATGACAGGCTGCACATTGAATCCATGTCTGTGCTTTAGGCCAAGCTAAACAAAGATTAGCAGCTGCCAGTATAGGATGCTAATCTGTCAATTAGAATAGATGCATAGCAAAGTGTCGCCATGGCTACACGCATTTACAGAGATCTGATGGTTTAAAAAGCACTCGTTTTTTTTATTTTTGACAACTGTCTTACCCGTCTGTTCAGGGCTACCTACTGCTTTCACAAATAGGACCTTGCTTGCTCAGATATATGGTATGTGGTCATTTCAAATCCAGAAACCAGGTGATGTCACAATCTTCATCTTTTACATCAATTCTACAGTTTTATCAAACAAAGATCAGACTGTTCTCCACGATCTCATTGACAAAGGGAACAAACAGACTTTTCCTTTGGTTGTTTGGGCCACACTGAACTACTTCCACTCAAGTTAAGACTTTCTCTTACATGTAAATGTCTTTTTTTGATGCAGTGAGCTCTACAAAAACAGCGACGTTCATTTTTCTTGCTTCTCATGTTAACTTCAGAGTAGTTTGATCATCTCTGCATGTAAAACAAACCCAAACTATCTGCTCAGTTCAGTATTACTACAGTGAAAGTGATCATTGTAATTTGGCTGTTCAAAGATTCGGTGAAGCCGGTGGAGAACACTGATGGGAGTCTCTTCTGCAGGTTAAATAACTTCCTGTGCGCTCTTCTTAAACACTGAAAAAAGCAGGAAGTATATATTTTAGATTAACCGTGGTACATGATGACAATCTGTTGAATTTTTCTGCACCTGGACATGTGCTATAGATGACGATCACACTGGTCCTACCTGCCCAGTGTGCCTCCAGCTTGGGTGTAGTATTTGTTGTAGTCCAGTCGCAGCAACAGCTGAGCCAGATCAGAGTTTATCTGATGGTTCCTAACACTCGACAGAATTTTGAACAGGAGGGATGACTGGCGTCTGAAGCCCTGAAATTTGACAGAGTTGGCATTACAAAAATCTCTTTACAGGTTCAGACAGAGGAAAAAAAAGGTGTGTATTCGCTACCTTGACTAGCAGATCGAGCTGAGCGGTTCCCCTGTCGTCCAGTGAAACCACAGTCTGACTGACCAGAGAGCAGAAGTTATGGCACAGCTCGAGGATCTCGTTGAGGCAGTGAAACACCTGAAGGTGAGAGTAGGTGAGCAGAGCGGCCTCAGGTAAGGAGGGTGAAATGTAGCAGCTGAGCATCATTTCTGTTTGGCGTCTCATACCGGCTTCAGGAGGATGAAGGACTGGGCCAGCAGGTTACTGAGGAAATGATCGTGGGCCAGTCGGATGCTCTCGAAGTCTCTGGTGGAGTTGATCTGCTGAAGCAGCTGAGAGAACTGAGACTCCAGCACATCCACCTGCAGTTTAAATAATTCAAACAGCACGTGATTCTTTTTTCCTTGAATTATTATTCCTATGATGGTTTTTAACATCAGCTTGAGTTGGAATGGAGACTGATTGCATCAGACTTGGAAATGTCATTTAATTAATCCACAAGTCAATTTTTAAGTAGGATATGGGAGAACTGGTTAAATCTCTCAGACCCTGAGCTGGAAAGTCTTTGATGGCACCTAAAACCTCGTGCAAAGGTCATTAAATGATAATCTTGTGCGCTGGTAGTTCTCAGCTGCATTGTTACCTGCAAATAATACTGCAAGTTGTCGATCAAGAAGGCCATGTGGTTGCGTAGCCTCCACTTCACAGCGTCCGTCTGGCTGGACTTCAGGTGTTTCCTCTGCATCTGCAGAGCCCAGCAGTGCTGCAGCTGTGACTGCACCCGCCTCACGCTCAGCAGGTACCTGAACACAACATTGTACCTGACCACACACACGAGGAGAGGACGGTGACTGGATGCACTGGGACTAAACACATCAAAGCTGCAGTAAGGGGTGCAAACACGCACTTCTCCAGCACAGCAGGAGTGAAGAGGATGTGCAGCGGCCACTGGACCTTGTAGGTGAGACCGAGGGCTGCCCAGCCTGTGGGAGGAACCTCGCGAGGGGAAGTGTCTTGTGGAGGAGTGGCTCCTTCTCTGGGGAGTGACGCATCTGAGAAAGCAGGCACAGTAACCAACCATCAGCTCGAGATAACAGGTACACCAGGTGAATACTGTCTGTAAGAGTGTGTGTGGGGGAGGGTTTAAAACCTGAAGTCTGCAGTTTATGGTGTGGCGAAACACACATCTGATATGTAGCGTTTGATTTAAGTGCTTCATAAATAAATAAATACTTGTTTGTATGTAGATTAGTCCTGTTAACAGTCTCTTAACACTGACTCTGATATTTAAAATAAAATAAATGACTAATTGTTCCTTTTACATGCTTTTATACTGGAATGACTAACAGCTCTCTCTCAGCCTATATGAACTTACATTTAGGGATGACTGTGATTAATGATAAATATGACATGTTGACGGTTTGAATGTAGGTATCTAAAAAGAACCTCTCCTATTTTAATCAAAGTTCTCCAAACCTCGTCTTCACACTGGCCTCAATCACAACAATAAGAATGTTGTATCTGCAGGGCAGGATGCTGGTTTTCCCTTTGTGGGAATGTTTTAGCCCCAACAGCTGCGATATCGAACCTTCAGTGAAACGAGAACTTTGTACTTCTGTGTTTCATTCACTCTGTGATCCACGTTTCCGTTTATTCTGCTATGACTTCAAAAATAGGCCAAAATATACACGTTGTCCTGTACACCATAAGGGTATCTGACATCTGATCAGTAACTGTAGCTGTGTCACAGTATAAATTCTTTGTATTAACTGTAATAAAACACTGGACAGATGATGCAGCTGTAGACATACGGCTTTAACCTGATGACAAAGCATGAAGGCTTCATTTGGAAAAACAGTTTCGGCCAGCAGAGGGCGCCACCCGCCACAGGCCGAGTTTTACGACATCAGGAGTGGGGCTCCTAAACAAAGGTTGCACTGTGACCCAGTGAGCCCACCTTTGCCGTCTTTGCCCTGGTAGTCCACGGTGAGGTGCAGCAGAGGCAGGAGGTTGTCATCGTCCAGCAGCACCTTATGAGCTGCCTGCTGGAAGGCTACGTTTACATCTGTGCAAAAGAAATCACATGATATGACGCTGCAAGAGCTTTGACCTTGAGTGTGCTTTTACCTTAATGCTGCTTTATGAGCAGAGACACAGAACCTGCACACATTTCAAGTCATGTGTCTGTTTCTTGCAAATGTTTTGTTTTATCATTAAGATTTTTCTTCTTTTTTTTTGGCATGCAGCACGGCACGAAAGACGTGAACACATCATGACAAACAGCTGCATACTGTGTTTAACTGTGTAACTTACCTGTGAACAAATAAGCAGAGAGGGGAAGCTGTTTGAGAATATTTACCGTGCTCGGTGACAGCCGTCGGAGGAGTCTTCAGCATGTGCTGCGCCAGGTCAATAAAAACCTGGTAGAGCTCTCCGCGACCCAGGAGGTAGAAGTCCTTAATGATCTGGGAACAAAGAAAACACAAACATCAGCACGGTTCATTTCACGCTGATTTATGATGCAGAACCAAGGGCGATGAGGACAAACCTTGAGCTGCTCAAGCAGATCTGCCTCTTCCACCATTAGAGTCCAGAGGTGCTGCAAATCAGTAAGACAGCATGAGGGCTTTGTAAAAGCAGCTCGCTAGTTTTCCTTCTTTAATGCTAAAAATGATGCTGTCCCTGATGAGCTCACCTCTGCCACTGTGCTCCTTATGCGATCGATCAAATTCTCAAAATCCACCAGGCTGAAAAGCGTCTGCTGTTTGAGTCGATGCAGCTCAGCAGCAAACATGTCTTCCTGGTGTTTCAGTATAGAGCCTGAAAATACAAAGGAAACATGTTGGGTTGTTCCAGACACACAAAAAGAAGAGGTCCCACTCCAATAGGTTACAACAGAAGCTCCCAGTACCAGCTCTGGATGGGCTGTGGTTGTGGTTTTCAAACATCTGGACAGATTCTCCCACAAAGAGGATTTTCTCGGCCACTCGGATGGGGATGTAAGAAGGCAGCATCTCTGTGCGCAGGGAGAACTGCTGCAGAGATGGAGCCAGCATGTTCTCCTCCTCGATGAGCCTCTGCACAACAGCGCACACCGACATTAAAAGACACTCGCAGTTCAGCGCTGGATGCACGTCCGTGCGTGCCACTCACCAGGTCCTGTAATTCTCGGAGCTGCTTCCCGCTCAAGCCTCCGAGTCCCAGGTCTTCTTCTTCCTCCTCTTGGTTGGCAGCAGCTCCTCCAGCACTGGGACCCTGCTTCACAAAAAACTCCTCGCTTTGGTCCAGCAGCAGCCCGTGCAGCATCCAAGCTGCCAGCTGCTTGTACATCACACCGTGGCACACGGCCAAAATCCTGCACATTCAAAAAAAACAAAAGGATAGCTGATATCAGTGTTCAATGATAAGAAAGTATAAACATCCTACTGATTCTATGGCACGTGCTGTCATGCAAGACAATGCACATTTATGCACATCCACAAAACGTTATTTTAGAAACAGCAGCAATGGACAACTACACCACGTCCAGTTCTATCCTCACACTGTGTGTTAGTGTTCATCTCTGTGTGTCTTTGGTCTCCCTGAGCCTGCTTCTGCTGCAGATTTCCTCCTGTTAAAAGGGAGTTTTTCTTTTCCACTGTCGCCAAAGTGCTTGCTCATAGGGGGTCATATGATTGTCAGAGTTTCTCTACCTTACAGTATAAAGCACCTGAGGCGTTGGTGCTATATAAATAAAACTAAATTTGACTGAGAAAGAGAAGAATGTGCAGACAGCAGCCACGCCTTAAAGTGTAACATGTTTAGTGTACGTGAGGACATGATTCACAGAATCCTGCTA